GCCCCCCCCAGGGCTCCCGGGTCCAGCAGGCAGGGGTCCGGGGCTCCCCTGCACCCCCAGCCAGGCCTCACAGTGGCAGTGTGGGAAGCCTACGAAGCCCTTGGCACACATGTCGCAGTGCTCCCCGGTGAAGTTTGGCCGGCAGTAGCAGCGGCCGGTCAGGTCCTCACACGTCCCATCGGTGAAGTTGGACTCACAGCTGCAGCCTGGGTGGGATTGGGTTGGGAATCTGTGAGACCCAAGCCCAGAGCTGCGGGCCCCAAGGAGCTGGCCCTAAGGTGGAGCAGCCCTGCCTCCCTCGTGTGGCAGCAGGGCCGAGGATGCACGAGAGCCTGCTGCCCACCGAGGCCTAGAACCTCCTCCCAGGCAGGCCCCGAAGCTCAGGACGCCCCTTCCCTGTACCGGCCCAAGCCCACTCACGGCGACAGGCGAGGGGCGAGTCGAGAGGGTGGTCCGGGGAGCGGTAGAAGCCGGGCAGACAGCGCTCACAGTTGATGCCAGTGGTGTGATGCTGTGAACGCAGGTGCTGTGAGCCTGGGCACTGCTCCCCCATGCCAGCCCGCACCTCCCTGCCGCCGGGCCCACCTGGCAGTCGATGCAGACGCCCCCACCCTGGTACACATTGTCCTGGTTCTGGCTGGCACTGCGTCTGTCCACCTCAGGGTCATAGTAACAGTCGTGGGCATGGCTGTGGCAGTTACAGGCTGGAGAGCAGAGGACACAGCGGTCAGCACGTCCACCAGGACACGGCCCGTATGCCATGGACCCACAGTGTGGCGTGTGTGGGCGTGGGGAGACTCACACTGACACTCGTTGGCGCTGTCGGTGGTGGCCGGCTTCCACGGCTGCTGGTTGAAGCCGGGGCAGCAGCGGTCACAGGAGCCCCCGCATGTGTTGTGCTGGCAGGCACACTGCAGCCTGTGGGTGACGCGTGGACACCGAGAGCCTTGGACCTCCCCCAGAGGCACAGGGCTGGCCCTGTGGGGCAGGTCCTCGGTCCCCACCCCAGAGGGCCTGTGGTGCCCCCGGCTCCGGTTGGCCTGCATGTGTATGCGGTTCCCTGTCCTCAGTTTCCCCAGCAGTCCCAGCCTGGACCCCAGCGTTGCCCACTCATGGCTCTGCAGAGCTGCGAGAGCGGGGATGAGATGGTGGCTTGGAGGAGAGTGGGGGTGGGGAGGGGGTTTTGGGCTCGGTGGCCTGGAGCCTTGGCCTTCCCACCACGAGCAGGGCCCACGCCCGGGCCTCCCTCAGCCAGGCCCCAGGGAAAGGGACACATCTGCTCCCCTTTGAGGCCAGGACCTCATCTAGCGGGCAGTTAGACACCCCACGTGTCCAGGGCACCCCCTCGGGTGAGTGGCCAAGAACCATTTCCTCTTCTAGCATGGGGTGGACAGCATGCCAGAGCGCTGGCCTGCTGCCTGCTGTTCCCGTGGGCAGGGGGACAGCGGCTCAGAGCTGAGGACGGAGAGTGGAGCCGTGCACTGTGCAGAAGGACGCCCAAGCCAGAGACCCCACACCTTGGGCCACTTTGCACTTGGCTCCCGGCTGCTGGGCTACGGATTTCCTGAGCAGGACCCAAGGAGCCAGCCTGAGTCTCAAACCACTCGACTCCAGCCCTGGCACCCACAGCATCCTCCAGGCCTCAGGAGCCAACACTGTTTCCCCTCGGAATCCAGGAACATCTGGAAAGGCCATATCCTCAGAAAAGGAGGAACCAGGAAACTCACTGCCCAACAGTAGAGGTGATCAACAACTAGCCCGTCTGTCCTGACCCCAAGCCCGAGGGTGGGAAGCCAGGGGCCCAAGCTGGTGATCATTTCTCAATTATCTACAAGGCCTAGGACCCCAAAACAAACACGAGGAGTTAACATTAAGCGATGCTGGGGTGGCGATTCCCTGGGGTGTTCGGGGAAGGCCCTCAAAAGCTATGCTGGAAGGCTGCTCCCCAGTCTAGACAGACGGACAGCATGCAGATAAAGCCCTGCTCAGGACAGCCGTGCAGCAACGATTCGGAAGGGCCAGCAGACACACGGGGAGCAGCACCAGACCTGACAGCGGCCTGGCAGGCACTGCCAAGGCACATTTAAGCTGATGATCAACAAAGCAATCGAAAGCTCAAGAGGAGACACGATGCTACGGAGAAGCAGATGTGGGGCTGAGGGTGCAGCTCAGCGCCAGAGCCTTGGTCTACACACCTGGGGCCCCGGGGCCCATCCCCAGCAACACAGGAAGAAGGAAAGACAAGAGGGAGGAAGGGAGGAGTAGGGGGAAAAGAGTGGGCAGATGCGAGAAAGAACAGCCAAGCTGAGAGGCTCAGGCACCGCCGACAACAGGGAGGTGGGCAGAGCTCTGGGGAAGCAGTCCGGGAGGCAGATGACAGCGTGAGAGCTCTGCGCCAGAGGGAGCCCTATGACATCCCCCATCTAGTGGGAGGCCCAGGAGAGGAGGCAGAAGGGAGACAGCAGTCTCGAGTAACGTGAGACACAGCTAACCCTCAGCACTTTGAGCGATCTGCAGAACACAGAGGACAGACAGCAGCTCGGAAAACCACCCAGAAGAGAAGACACTCGGGGAGATAAAACAACTGGAGCAAAAATGGACTCTCTGAGCACGGAGAGACACCCAGAGACAGAGGGAGGATCCTCCAAAGCGTCAGGAGACGCACCGCCCCGCAAGAACCACAGCCGGCTGCACCTGACTCTGCAGAGGCTCGGAGTGGGGTCACACGGCCATTTCAGAATACTCCCGAGAGATGGTCACGGCGAGTCTCGCCGGGGACGGGACAACCCTGGGACTCTGAGCGAGAGCGAGGGAGGCCGGCGGGCACTGCAGAGGGGATAACACGCGGCCAGGCTCATGGGACTTCGGCCCAGGGGTGGCTCAGGGAGGCAGCAGAGCAGCTCGCTGTCAGGCAGGCCTGTCAAAAGGTAGGGGCTCCCACGTGACAACAAGAAAGAGGAGAGAAATGGAAGGGTGCCTCCAACAGAGACAAACGTGCAGTCTCTGAACCGAGGAGCGGAGAGAAGGCGCACAGCACAGTGGTAGTGATGGAGGCGGGGCCGTGGGCGGAGCGGCAGCGGGTGACACACAGGATGGGAGGGCAGGAAAAGGGGCTGCTGGTGTGGAGGAGCACACCTGTGCATCTCAGCATTTGGGAGGCTGAGGCAGAAAGATCACTGGGAGTTCAAGGCCAGCCTGAACTAAACAGCAGGATTCTGTCTCAAAATAATAATAGAGGAGAGGCAGCTGGGGGCATTGTTCCTCCTGCAGGAGCAGCAGAGGTGACACTGGGCAGCACGAGGACAGTGTGGCAGAATGGATGGGACACAAGTACACCGTGGAGGCCATGGTGACAAGGTCTGGGGTTCTGGGAGATGCCCTGCGGTGAGCTGGGCTCAGCGCTTGCCCAGCTGCACACAGTGAGTCACAGGGATGCCAGTGCCTGTCCCGGCAGGTGAGGGCAGGCCTGGCCCCCAGGCCCCAGGTTCTCATCTCTGCTGAGGCCAATCTGGCTGTCTGGTTGGCTCCACCCCAGCATCTGGAGCTGTGTTCCCACTGGGCACTTAATTTCCCAGGGCAATGGAGCGGTGCCTGGAGCCACACTGGCTGGGACCTGCTTGTAGGATGTGTCCCGGGGCCTAGGGCTCCAGGGCAGCGGCCTGCTGCGTCTCTGGCTGGGGTGACTGTGCCACCCTCCTTCAGAGCCACCAGCCACTTCTGCGGAAGGCTCCATGGAGCGAGGCCAAGCTCATCCTGCCTGGGCCTCACCTGCCTCCTCTATACACTGGGATGTGGGCAGCGCTGTGAGAGCTCAGCAGGGGCCCACAGCACATCCTATATCTAAGTGAGCCCAAGTGCAAGGAGCAGGACTTTGCTGGCTTGGGCGGGCCCTGGAACATGCTGTGCTGCTGTGGTGAGAGCCAGGGCCAGGGCCGTGCAGGGCGCCCAGGAGGTTGGGGCCCTTGGCTGGATGAGCACAGGATGCGTTCGAGGGGGTGCCGGCTGTCCTCGTCCTGCACTTGATGTCTGCCCTTGCTGTGTCTGTGTCATGGGGAAAAGTGGAGGAGCTGGGAGAGGGCACTCCCAAAGTGCACGAGGGCTGCCTGGGTAAGCAGTGGGCACCTGTCCGTCTGGGGGGGCACACGTATGCAGCCCAGGTTTGTGTGTTTGTTTGTTTGAGACCGGGTCTTGCTCTTTCAGGCTGGCCTTGAACCCATGCTGGCCTCGAACTCATGGTGACCTTCCAGCCTCCGGAGTGCTGGGATCACAGGGCTGCAGCTTTGACGGCCTTCTTCGCTGACTCTCCTCCATGGGTCTTGGGAAACCCACCTCCCCCGGCTATGAACAACCCTCCCCACCCAGACAAGGAAGCCTAGGGAGGCTCACACAGCCCGGCCGTCCACATCCCTTGCTGACCGGCCACAGAGGGGCAGTTGGTACAGGTCCCACACGGAGCTGGTGGACAATGGAAGGAGTCTCTCACTCCGTCAGGCTGGGGGACTGGTGGGGAGCCCAGGACTCACCTGAAAGGATCCAAGGGGTCTTTGGCGTCACAGACATCTGCGTGGCCATGGCAGACGCAGCGGCCGCCGATGCTGATGTCCTTGATGCTGTAGTAGTACTGCAACCCAGGGCCGTGAGTTCCCCTGACCGCGCGCCGACCACCCCATGCCCTGCGCCCACCAGGGATGTCCCCTCCCCCAGCAAGCCAGCTCCTTCCACTCTGCTCCTCGCCCCGACCCAGCCCACTCCTGGGCCGCCTGGGAGGCTCACCCGGCGGGTGACGGTGGGGTCCTGCAGTGCCTTGCCCATGAGGTGGCCCAGCAGCGTGTTGGTGCGCAGAAAACGCAGCCGGATGTTGGTGGCTTTGGTGAAGTCACGCAGCAGCGGTGAATAGGAGAAGTTCATGGCTCCGGGACGCCCGTTCACCAGGGACACCACAATCTACGGGTGGCGTGGCAGGCAAGGCTGGGTGACCAGCGGACAGTGTGGCACCAGCACCCAGCCACTGCCATCGGTGGACCCAGCGCCTCAGCAGGACCCCTGTGCACCACCCCACCCGGGCCCACCTCGCCATTCTCCAGGGGCACTATGCGCGAGTACTCGGTGGTACAAATGACATCATCATCCTGAGAGATCCGCTCCAGCGTCTGAGGCCCGAAGCGCTCCAGGCAATCCCTCTTGGAGGCTGTGGAAATGAGCTGAGGGTGAGCAGGGCCTGGGCCCCAAAGCAGTGCCTCTGTCGCCCTTCACCTTGCTGAAACGGGGCACCATGCCCTGGAGGGGGTACCCCTCCAACGAGGCCTTGCCCCACAGGACTGGTTTGCCAAAGAGCAGAATTCTGGCAGATGGTGGTGCCCTGGCCCCTGCCCACACCCAGGGAGGCTGGACTGGCACAAGACGCAGTAGCCCAGCCCAGGTGCCATCCCCTCCTTGGAACACACTGACAAGCAAGCGTCCCTCTGAGATGACCACCACCACCCCTCCCTGAGGACAGTGCCAGCTGCCCACTAGAAAACTGGCTCTCCCTCAGTCTCAGGGTCACGTGGATGGGCCTGTCTGAGGGGAGCCCTAAGCTGCCAACATGGCCAGGGCCAGCTGGTGACTCCAGCGCTCCCTGACAGGCAGCTAAGCTGGCAGGAAGTGGATCGGAGCTGCCAGGGCCACTTTGTCATGAAGGGAGCTGCTCGATCGTGCTGCCAGTCCAGAGGAGCCAAGAGATGGTCCCGAGCTTCCGGGCGCCATCAGCACTCACGCCAGCCGCGCCCAGGAGTGGGACATGAGCCAACAAACTCTCATTTGCCTCCGGGAGGCTGGCACTGACAGTCCTGTCCCACAGAGCAGCCAGGCACGAGGGAAGGGCTCAGCGCCCTGGGACCCTGACAAAGGAGCGGTGGCAATCAGGTCCCAGGGCCACGCGCAGACCCCACGGCTCCACTCACAGGCGAAGAACTGCCACGGCTGGTAGGTGTGGCCAAAGTCTGTGGAGCGCTCCAGCACCCAGAGGTCCGGCCGAGGGGAGTTGGCAAACTTGATGAGCACATAGGCCACGTGGAAGACCTGCGGTGGGGCAGCAAAGACGCAGGGCTCTGGGACCCTTCCACGCTGCTGGGGCCAGCCTGCGCCAGGTGTGAGGCCACAGCAGGGGTGCAGCGGCCCCTCCCATGCCCAGGGCACCTGTGGGTATGCAGGTGAGCAGCTGAGGAGCCCTGGGGGAGGCCAGCTGGGCCCACAGGACAGGGCCCCACTGCGGACAGTGGGGGACAATGGGATTCCGATCCCAGAGGTGGCCTGGCCCAGGCCCAGATCCCCAGCCTCCTCCCCAAAGAGCTCAGGGCCCCCTGGGTCCCTCCGGCTCTGTGGCTGCTGATGGGGCCTGGTGTGGGCAGGAGGGGCACCCTAGGGAGCAGCCTGTCTGTAGGTTCCAGACAGGGCCAAGGGTGGACACGGAAGTACAACCCAAGGTCCGCAAAGCGCTGATGCCCACCCAGGAGCCGACAGGACCCTCAACGCCCCAGCTCCGAACTGGACTGGTGAATGCTCCTCCCGCCACAGGTCCTGTCTCAGTCTTACCCTGTCATCTGCTCCTGAATCTTCATGCTGACCTGTCCACTGAGGCCCCAGGAGCGCAGCAGCACAGAGGAAGCGGCAGCCCCTGCCTTTAGGGGGTCCCTCAGGGGAGACCAACTGGAAAACCAGCCCTCCCAGAACTAAGCCCAGAAGAGCCCAAGCAGCCAGGAGTTGGGGCTGCAGTTTAGCTGTGGCCTGGACAGTCCAGGGTAGGTCCCAGCCCGGGCAGAGCAAGCTGTTCCTCTGAAGTACCAGAACCCCAAAGCCTCTGCCCAGACAGCCTCATCCACTTCCTCCTGGTACTGGCCCAGCCTTGCCTGAGGGAGGAGCCCACAGCCTTCTTTCTTGTCTTCCTGGCCAGAGGAAGCCACACACCTGCCCTGAGAGTTCATGAAGCCTTGTGGCCCTGGCCCCACCTGGCCCCACCCTCACAGGGCAGGCACTGTGGAAGCCTCCTCAGGAAGCCTCTTGACTAGAGCCCATCCACCCGCACTTGGCCCTCGATCTCCTCCAGGACAGAAAAAAGACCCCTCCACAGGCCCAGTCCCCACCAGCCCGCCTCTCCCTCTTCCTCAGACGCCCCCAGCCTTGTCCTCAGGACCAAATCTCATCTCTATCCATTCTGTGTGACCACCTGTGGGCTCCCCTGCCTGCAGGCTGGGGGACCCTCAGGTCACCTGTGCTGAGAACCCCCTCTGCCGAGGGAGGCTGCAGACATGGGCAGGTCATTTGCCCCATGAAGAGGCAGCTTCCCTTTAGAGCCTGGGCTGGCACTGGCACCGGGGGTGCAAGGGTGGCCCTTCCCCACCCACCACAGGCCTGAGTTCCTGGGCCATGGGTCGGTGTCCCACTGTGCCTAGGGTACCTGCGAGCTGGTCTCTAACCCCATGCTGAGCAGAGGGAACTATGGCCTTCCTACCAGCCTGGAAGTTCTGAGGGCAGGTAGAGCTCAGCCCCGGCTGGAGCAAAGGGAATGACCCAGGGGGTCAGGGCCACTGTCGGGGAGCTTTGCTCTGTGTGTGTCACAGCACCAAGGAGCCGAAGCTGCACGGGCAGGGCCTGGTCTGACCAGTGCAGGGGGCAGAGGACTCCTGGGAACCACTGCTCCGGAGGATTTTCTGTCCCAGCAGGTGCCAGCTGGCGATGCAGGGAGTAGGGCAGGGTCCCCCAGGACCGCACAAGGCCTATGGGTACCCTCATCTCAGCCTAAATGAGCCTGAGGTTACCTGGTACCCCAGGTGGGACCATGGGCCCCACACAGCTCCAGCCCTGGGAGGCACAGACACCTAAATGCAGGCGGGGCAAGGCCAGGCGTGGCAGGGACTTGGTTCAAGCCAAGCTCAGCCTCCCCTGGGTGGGGGTACGGGCCTATTCAGTGGCTGCCAGGCTCTGAGGTCATCTTCCTGGTCCCCGTGGGGGAGCAGAGGCAGCCCCGCCTGTGGGGGAGGTGCTCCAGCCTCTGGAAGATCCCACACTCAGGCCCCCAGCTCGTCCTGCCGCCCGAGCCCTGCAACGCTGCTGGGATCCAGGGGCTGGGACAGCAGGGCAGCAAAAGGTCTGTGTGAGGAGGGCCAGGGATGTGGGGAGACTAGGGGCTGGCAGACATGGGCACTGGATGCTCTGGCACTGCTGGAGCCCAGCCCTCAAAGAGGGCTCTAAGGAGATTAGCAGGACCCAACCGAGCTCTGGGGCCCACCCCTGCCTTTCTCTGAGCAGTGGCCCAGGCTGCAGCCTTGCCGGTCACACTGTCCTTCCCAGGCTGGCTGGCCCTGCATTCTTCCCAGCTGAGAGCACTTTCACAAATATTGACTCCAAGATATGGGTGGGCAGGACAAGGGGGGACGGAAACTGCTCCTGTGGGGGACACACTCAGAGACCGGGACCTTCAGCTCACTGTCCGTTCGAGCCACTGTCCATCAGACAAGGCCCTGGACAGCTGGACTTGAGGCCAGATGCTGAAGGGAGGGAAGAGTGAGCCTCAACACTCCCCTTGAGCCCAGCCTGGTCCCTGCTCCCAGTGCCACAGCGCTCCCCTGGCATGGCCTGGGCATGGCACAGACCCCGGCCTCCTGGACAGAGCCCTCCCCGACTCGCCCTGCTCCACACAGCTGCCAACTCCGGCTGACCTTTCCGCTGCTACATAGTTCTGTGTAGAAGGGGAAAAAATGTCTTTTAAAGCAAAAGCCAAACAAAAGACGCTGGTTATTTTAAAAAACTGGCTATTTTGGGGCAGGCACGGCTCCAGGCCAGCAGCCACTGTGTCCCCTGTCCCCGCTCAGCCTGACCTCAGAGGGCCAGGGTTCCTGAGGAGGGGTTCTGCCCCATGGCCCTGCCCCATGGTGGGCAGTGAGTGTCCCAGGTGCACAGGGGCCAGGCAGGGCAGTAGTTCAGGTGGGCCCTAGACTTCAGGAGCGAGAGGTCCTGGGAAGCCACTTCCCCTGTCTGGGCACAGCAGTGGGAAGAGGTACAGAGAGCAAGGGTCAGAGGAAGGAGTTTTCTCAGAGTGAAAAGGTTCAGGGCTCAGGAGGAAGTAACATCTGTCCCTGGGGAGGGCGAGCAGAAGTCAGCACCACCTGGCAGGGCCAGGCCACCAGGACAGGTCTAGAAGTCACAAACATGGAGGGGAGCCGGGCGTCTCTGCAGACCCTGGGGATATGGGGAAACCGAGGGGCCAGCAGCCTCCAGGGCTCAGTCACCTCGACACAAAGGGGGAGACTGAGGCTGGAGCCGATACAGAAGGCAGCAGGGCTTCATCTTGTGCCCACTGCCCAGCTCTGCCCTGGCCCATCTGGAGGCTGGGGAGACTGAGGCAGGGCACAGGTGCCAGCCACAGTGTATGTCCTGGGGTGAAGGGACCCACCCCGCCCCCCAGCGATGTGACTCAGCAGGTGGTCTGTGACTAGGCCTGGTCTTCCACAGGAAGAAGGCCCTGTGCCAGTCCCAGAACACAGGCTGAGGTCCTGCTTGGGGCTGGGTGGCGGCAGGCAGCCCTCCTCGCTCCAGGGGTCTAGGTTAGGCCCTGACTGCTCCCCTCAGGTCAGCTCTCGGGCCCCTGGACCTCTCCATCCTACCTCCACCTCTCCAGATGTCCAGGCCAGCCCTGGAGGTGCTGGGTCCACCTGAAGCAGCCTGCAGCCTGTGCAACCCGCCCCCACCCCAGCAGAGACCTCTTGTGCAAACCTGATAACACCACTGCAGGGGCCAGGGAGGCCAGCCAGGGCGGGGTCCACTCCGGCCCCCCGCTTGGAGAAATAAATAAGCACGGCCAACTCCACAACCAACCTAAGAGCTGGAATGTGGGCCATGTGTGGACCCTGTCCCGAGCGATGGGGTGGAAAAGCTGAGGTGCCACCCAGCAGGGCCATCGCCGAGGAAGAAAAACAGAAACGGGATCCACTGAGGGCACACGGAGGCCCAGGAGCCCCAACTCTCTGATGCTTGACCCACAGCTGTCCAGAGCAGGGTGGGGAATTGGGCAGGGACAGGAGCTCAACTGCTGGAGGAAGCTGGGGTCCCAGCCAGGCAAATAACCCAAGAAGTCCCCGTACAGCAACAAGGCTGGACCCAGAGTGGGTGGACTTGGTGACCCCAGCCACCCCAGCCAAGCCCGGGCTCCCTGCCCCTTCCCTCCACCACGCAGCCAGACCAGGCCAGATGGTCAGCCCAGGGCCACAGGAAGTGGAGTTTACCTCAAGGAGACCCCAGAGCCGAAACCCAAACAGTTTAGTCTGTGCAAGCGGCACGGTAAGAGGCCCGTGCAAGGCGGTTGTTTAATAACACAGAAGACAACGAGCCTTTGGGGCTGCCAGAGCCTGGAGGACCAGGCAGGGTGACGAGGTGTCTGCATGACAAAGTGAGTGAGGTGACCAGAGTGCCAAGGACAGCCACATTTGGTAGTCAGGGGCCAGGGTGGAAGCAGCAAGAGACACAGGCTGGGAAAGAAGGGCCCTCAGCCCCAGGCACTGGCAGCCCCTCAGGCCACCTCCTCTGGCACTGGGACAGGTAGAGTGAGGAGACAGGCAGAGGCAGGGGACTGCCATCTCCCCTATGTAGGGAGGAGCTCCCCAGCGATAGATACCACCAGGACAGATGCCCTGTTCCATCCCCCACAGGAGCCCAGAGGGCAGGAGGGCCGGCTGGCCCAGATCTGCACCTGTCGTAGCCACAGCTGTAACCAAAGCCAGACCATGGCTGCACTTCCTGTCACTTCCCTGGACAACCCTGCTGACCATCTCAGGGCACTGGCCACATGGCTGAGTGCCCAGCCAGGCCCAGGAAGCCATGCCAGTGGCCTCAGCCACATAACCGCCATGCCAACAGCAGCTGAGACCAGGAGGCCTCCCAGGGAGCCCCAGCCAGCTAGTCTGAGGTGGGCAGGGCAGGGCAGGCCAGCAGGACAGTGCAGGCCAGCAGCCATTGTGCCCACCAATCTCCAGGCCGAATTCTCCCTTCCTGAGGAAAAAACTTTGCCGAGGAGGTAGCTTCGGGAGAGCCAGCTCCAGTATTTCCTTCAGACATCAGCCCGGGTCTGTTCCCACACTGGTGCTGTCCCTCTTATCAACCTCTGCCGTGGTTATCCCGGATGCCCAGGGAGGACTCTCACTGTCCAGGGCTCAGTAGCTTCGCCGCAGCTGTGCCTCCTCGGCACCCCGCCTGCAGGAATGACCCACCTCCTCCTGCCCGTGGCTTCCCGTCCTGGGGACACAGCCCCTCTGGCACTGCCAGTCCTCAACCACCCAGCTAGGCCAGCCCTGTCCACTCTGCACACTGAGTGCTCTCTACCAGCCCCAGCTCCTCCAGCCCTGCAGCTCTGGGACTATGGGGCTGGGACAAAGCCAGTTTCACCTGAGCCACTTGCATGCAAGAGAGAACAAAGCCGGGGCCTCCCTGCCAGGAAGGGGATGGGCACTCCTGACACTTCCTACCCACCCCAAACTGGGGAGGGGGCTGAAGTGGGCAGAGAGGGGAGGAGGCTGCTGGGGAGACCTGCATGGCAAGGCTGCTCGGTCAGGACCCCAACATGTGGCCTGAGCCTGGCACTTAGAGCACTCTCTTTCCCTGGGCCAGGGTCAGCGTGAGGTTCTGCAAGGGGAAGCCACTCAGCCCCAAAGCTTCCAGAGGACACACGGAGATAGGAGAACATCCCCCCCACTGCCCCCGCTGACCTCTAAACTGGAGGGGACTCAGGAAACTGCTCCCTGAGTCACCAGCAGGGAGCCTCTTCCTGGCCCCCCTCCCCTACAGAAGGAATCCCAAAGGCCCAGGCCCAGGCCCTCCTGAGTGCTGTCCAGGGGCCCTGGCTGCCCCAAGCTGTGCCCGCGAGAAGCCACAGGCTGGGCACCCACCACCCATGCACGAGACACAGAACAGCCAGGCAGCCCCAGCCGCCGTTCCCAGCCCTGCCCTCACAGGAAGCCCTCCGTGCCCATGCCAGCCGCCCCCACCCGCTTGCTAGGGCATCCGCTCCAATCCCAGAACAAAGGCAGCTGGTCCACCCCAGGCCCGCTTCCTGGTGAGCCCAGCCTCGGCCCAGCCCAGCACCTCAGCACAGAACCCCAGGAAGATGGTGCGGGAAAGGGTTCACCTGCCCCACCAAACCCCAGTGTTCAGTGCGGGCAGCCCCCTGGCCAGCCAAAACAGGGCCTCCACGGATGCACCCACATAGACAGTAAAGAATGGGTGGAGAGGAGGACAGGAAACTGGGGCTCCTCCCTGGCATGTCATCTTACAGCTGGTGTAACAGGCACAAACAAGACATCTACTTGGTGAAGTCCCTCCTGACTCCGAATAATGTAAAGGCAAACCTCCAGACCCAGTTTTTGGAGGCTTACGACTCCTATCTAGATGTCCCCCAAGAGCCTCATGAGCTTGGGTGCTGCTTTCGGAGGTGACTGGATTATAGGTGTCATGTCTGCCTTGCTGTCAGGGAGTGGGTCATGATCGAAAGAGCTGGGTCACTGGGGCGTGGTCTGGAAGGATGCAGCTCGCTCCCTGGTTCCTTCCTTCACCCTGCTTCCTGGCTGCCAAGATGCCAGAGAGCAGACTTCTCTGCCCCAGTCCTTACACCACACTGCCAACATGCAAGGACCGGAACTTATGAAAATGTGACCCTGTGTCCTGGCCTGCTCTGCTGTGCCGTGGGTCTCTCCCTTTATGAGCCCGTGTCCCACACAGCCTGCAGGTGTTGGGTATTTTGTCTCAGCTCTGCGATAAGGAATACTAAAGGGGCTGAGGCGCAGAGGGCCTGGACCAGGAAGGAGGCAACAGAAGTTCTCTGTCAGCCCCACCCACAGCGCTACCTGCATGTTGCCACCTGCTCTGCAGTCGTCTTGTGTCTGCTATGGAAAGCAGGTCCTCACCCTTCAGGCATATATCCTCCCACAAGTGCCCTGCTGCTGTGCCACAGATGAGAGTGCCCAAGGTCCCCTCAGTGCAGGAAAGGGGAGTCCTGACAGTGTAAACCAGCGAGGTGAACTTGAGCCAGGCCCCACCCAGACCTGGACCAGGCTAGGTGCAGCCCCTCTCCTGCCACCCCACAAAATCAGGGTCCTCTGGAAATCCCAGGGCACTTGCTGGGACTCAGCCACTCCCCTGGCTGCCTATCCCACTGGGCCAAGTCTGCGGCCTGCCACATTGGGAAAGAAGGGACCTGCCCTTGCCAGGCTGTGAGAGGGCACTGCCACCTCTCTCCCAACACCTCAGGTTACAGCGGGGAAACAGGCCTCTGGTCTAGTCCTACCTGGTAGGAGACTGGCCAGGCGGGACTGTGGGTCCCAGAGGGCAGTGCTACTGCTACACCTTTAGCAGGCAGGAGCCTGAGGCTTTAGAGTGGGACAAGGTTGTGAGTCTGACCCAGCCCAGGGGTGAAGTCAGACCCAGGTCCTGCAAATGGCAGGAGGCTTGCTGAGCAGTGAAAATGCACAGGAGCCTTGGAGGCCTAGGTGGATGGCCCAGAGCTGGCGGCCTCAGCCTGCACCTAGCCCCAATCAAGAGACCAACCCTGACACAGGTATCCCAGGAATGCCCACCTCGGAGGCTGGCTCTGCATTCCTGCAGCCCCTCCCATACCCGCCAGGAATTCCTGAGTAAACTGGGGCAGAAGGAAGGCCCCAAGGCTCTAGCAGGACTCAGGCTTCCTGCTGAGCAATCGGCACCCTCCCCTGCCCTGCCTCTCCGCCAGAGAAAAAGTGACCCTACCTGGCCCAGGTCCAGGGTGACGTTGACCTCGTTGTACTCCAGGCCACGAGACAGTGGGGGACTCTGCCACCAGCGCTCCGTGCCATCGATGGCATTGCTTACAGGGTGTGCCTTGTTGCTGTTGGAGGCTGTGCAGATGTCGCAGTACTGGCCCTACAGGGAGAGGGGATGGTCAGATGGCCAAGGATGGCAGGGCCTCGCTGGTCCCCCTAGTCACCCTGCTACCACCTATGGGCCCTAAGTCCCTTTATGCTGGCCTCCACCTCCAACATCATCGCCTACATGTGTTTTGTGCTTACTGCTTTGATTGAGAAGACATGGCTGGCAGGATGATTTGGGAGAAAGAAGAGGATCCGATTCCAGTGGGAAAATCAAGGACAGCCTCTCTGAAGAAGTGGTGCAACCTTTGCTCCAGGAAGAGCTGCTGCCAGTGCAAAGGCCCTGTGGCAATGTAGCTAGAGCCACAAGGCCTCTGGAAGGTCCCACACAAGATGGGGTGAGATGGGAGACAGAAAGAATGAAGAAGGTAGAGTCACAGATGGAACGATAGTCGGGAGAGGAAGGATCCCGAGGGCCAGGAGAGCTTGGTGAGTCAGAGGTCTTCTCTCCCCCTCCAACCTACCCCTCACACAAACATTCCTGCCCGGGGCTCGGCCTAGAGCCCTCTGGATCAGGACCTCTCCTCTCAGCAGGGAAAGTTAGGTTTTAGGGCAGCCTGCAGGCCCCAGAGCACAGGCGTGTGGGCGTGGCAGGTGAGGCCTGGGCTGCCTGACTGCCCGCTTTCAGGCCCAGCTTCCAAGCCCTGGGACAGGGCCAAGTCGTAGCAGCCACAAGTCTCAGTGTCTCCATTTGTAGAATGGGATAGCATTGTCCCTGCCTCGGGTCACAGCAGGGATAAGATCGCAGGGCCTGGAAGCTGTTTCAGTCGAAGACCAGCCACCTGCTGGAGGCCTGTCCGCATAGGGACAGAGGAAGTCCCAACAGGTCCTGGCCTGCTGTCCCTGGCCACCAGCCCATGGACTGTCCACCCCCCACCCAGGGAACCAGACCTTCTGTCCCTCCACACACAAAGGCAGCCCTGGAGACTTGGCATGGATGGAGGCCCAGTCTGGGAACCAAGGCTGCCCCTCCTGTCCAGACTGGGGGGGTGGCCATGTGGGAGATCCCGCCCCCAGTCCAGGCCTCCCCTGGCCCTCCCTTTCCTGAGGGGGATGGGCTGGGGACACAGCTAAGAGCAAAGCAGGTGTGGTCCTACCCCTGCCATGACAGAGCCAGAGGGCCCCTGCAGGGTGCAGTGAATGCATCCTGGTGAACAGCCAGCTCTTGTGCTGGTGAAATAAATAAAACAGGGTGACACCTGGCAGCGAGCACATCGGCATCCTGGGGTGACACCTAAGTGGAGATGGAAGGCCACCAGGCTGGGCTTGGGTGAGGCCTGTGGGTCCTGGGGGTCTGCTGCCTCTGGCGCCCTTGTGTACGGCCCACAGCCCTATGCAGAGGGGCCAGGGCAGTGGAGGCCCTCGGTGGGCCACACCACCAAGCTTACGTGCTGACCACCACCTCAGAATCCAGGGCTCCTGGTAGGTGGTGAGCAGGGCAGGGCTTGGGGCTCACCGACAACCCCACAAGTGTCAGATCCACTGGGGGGGCAGTCAGCAAAGGGGGTGGGAAGGCCTCCTGCTAGGCAAGCCCCAGGAAGGTACAGGATCAAGGGTGACTCTGGTCTCCCAGAAACCCAGGGAGCACGTGCTCAACCCTCACCCGCAGCACAGAGAGATCTGCAGGGTTAGAGAGGAGGCCACGCACAGAACAGGAACCCAGAACAGGTGCCCTCCATTGTTTATTTATTTCCACAAATAAGGAACTTGAGGCTCAGAAAGGGGAGCCACCCAGCTCTGGAGAGGCAGAGGAGAAGGGCTCTGAGCCCAGGCCACCAGGCTCCCAGGCTGCAGCCACAAGGGAAGAGACCTAAGCAAGAAGCGCTCCCAGAGGAGCTGCTTTCCAAAGCCAGGCAGCACCAGTGGCAGCGGGGAAGGCTGTCTGGGGTCCAGAAGTGGACTAGGGCCTCCCTGGCTAAAGCGGTAAACTCCCAGCTACCAGCAAGAAGGGACTCTAGGAGTCCAGCCCGGTGGGAGGGGGGTCCCAAGTCAGAGACATCAGCTCCCACCACTTAGTCCAGCTGGATTCTGTGCTGGCCGTGGGACTTCGAGTGTCTGAACTTTTCCAAGCCTCAGTTTCCCTGTCAGAAGTGTGGGCTTGCCACCCCCCATCTCTGAGGTCTGCGCTATGCTTAGAGAATGCACAGATGTGAAGCACACCTCCTCTCCGCTCCTTCCTCCCCACTGGAGGCCCAAGGGTGGGCTGGGTGGTGCAGTGGGGGAGGCGAGGAGGGACCCAGGTCAGGCTCCCCCATTCATCTCCAATTTCCTGGCTCCTGGACGCTCCTGCGACCCAGCCAAGCCATTCTCAGCTACTCCCCTTCCCAGGCCTTGCAGGTCCCGGGAGGAGGCTGCTCCTGTTACACCAGCCCCTGGGGCCTCCAGAATCTGCTGGGGCAGAGGTTGGGAGTGTGGCGCCCCTGGAGCAGGTTTGGACCCCCAGAGCTGACCTCAGCCCCATCTCAGTCCTGAGGATCTCGACAGCCTTGCTTTCCTGGCCAGAAGTCCAACGGCAGGGGCCACTTTACTAAACCTACCTACAGGCTCCCATCTCGGAGGAAACGCCTCCAAGGAAATAGGGCCTGAAGCCCAGGACCCACTACCTGCTGGTCAGAGAGGCTCCCGACCCCCCGGTGCTCCCCGTTCCAGTTAAAATCCGGGTTTGCTTGCTTTTCTCCACTTTGAGGGCTCCACCGCGCTCCCAGACCCCTGGCGGGACGCTTCAACCCTTGGCCGCCGGCAGGGAAAGCGCTAAACCCTGCAGCCTCCAAGGAAATAGGGCCTGAAGCCCAGGACCCACTACCTGCTGGTCAGAGAGGCTCCCGACCCCCCGGTGCTCCCCGTTCCAGTTAAAATCCGGGTTTGCTTGCTTTTCTCCACTTTGAGGGCTCCACCGCGCTCCCAGACCCCTGGCGGGACGCTTCAACCCTTGGCCGCCGGCAGGGAAAGCGCTAAACCCTGCAGCCTGCAGC